TTACAGCTGCTAATTTGGTCAGAGGGAGGAGACCGAGAATTCAGGCAGATTCTTCTCTTTCCTTTCTTGCTTCCCAGAATGACAAATACTAGAGATTACAATCTGTCTCTCCAGCACTCACCAGCTGTGGACCACTATTTGCACTTTACAACACGTGCCAACAAGAAGTGTTCGCACACAATTAAAGCATAGTAGAAGCTTCAGTCATTTCCCCTTTGCCTGAACTAAATGGCTCTCTAGAGCAGGGTTCCTCAATCTTGGCAACTTTAAGACCTGTGGACTTCAACTCCCAGAATTCCTCAGCCTGCTCTAGAGAGCCCAGAGTACAGTCCTATTGGTGTGTGCAAAGCATAATTCCCGTCAAACACACTTCAGATTTCTTTTCCCACTCATGGTTTGGTCCATGCCCAGCAGGGCACATCTGAGGTTCTAATATGTGCAGATAATTTAACAACCATGAACTGGCCTGAACTATTTCGAGAGTACCCCTTATCTGGGCACCCCAAGTCTGGGAAAGATAGTATAAAACCTCTATTTTTTCTAGATAACTTGTGTTCCCTTCCTTCCTTCTAACCGCATCATACTTAGCGGCACTATTTTTTTCAAATGTGTTCCCATGCCACTGATTTTATCTTTTTCCACAGCCCATGACTGAGGCAGCTTTGAGTGGTTCTTTGCTGCATTTGTGGTGAAGCAGCATTTCCTCCCTTACATTAACACATCTGACCACAGCCTCAGAATGTGTAAAATGTTTTAGGCTTTGTAACGTATTATTTTGGAGGAAGGTCAAGTAACGCTAGGCAGTATTCCTCAGAAGGACTGTCACCAGAGATGTTCATTTTGTACTGATAATTGGTTTTTTACAGACTCAAGGGTGGGTGGGTACCACTTCAGCTCTGCATTGGGGAAAGGTCCCATATATGCTTTGTGCTTAAAATATATGATAACCCATAGTAATATGGCAATTTGAATTTTGTCTCAAAACAACACTTCAAAGGGATGGTGGAGGGACATGGGAGGGAGATCAGCTGGTGCTCTTTGCCACTCCTCCATCCTGTCTGATAGGTCACTGAAGTGGAGAACGGGTGTGTAATAAAACAGAAGGTGTTGCTCCATACCATGTCTCCCAACTCCTTTCTCTAATCCACTGATCTGTCAACTAAGCTATTTTGAGACAAAGATGTAATGCTCTACTGGAAGAATAGACTAATTTTCAGAAACAGCCTGAGCAGCAGGTCAGCAATGTGGATTTTCCAACATTGATGATCTATCAGTAGGAAATCTTGAAAGATGGCTAAAGTCTCCATGCCAGGGACCTCCCCACAATTGTCCAGGTCTGTCCCACTATACGTTAAAAGCAGCAATTGGAAGTGGCTTTTCCTGACTGCAAGTGATGCTGGGTGAAGAGAAGATGCAGCCAGGAAAGTGCACCAATAATTGCCCTTACATTATCCCATATTAAAACTATAAGGACCAATCTAGAGGGAGTTGAAGTTGCCGGAATCTTGGGTGATAATCAGAAAACAGATATGCGAAGAACTAAAAGCAAACAGTTATAACTAACAGCCAGCACTGGTTTGTTAAAAACAGATCATGCCAAACCAATCTTATTTCATTCTTCGACAAAGTGACTAAACTAACAGACCAGTGAAATACTGTGGATGTAGTATACTTAGACTTCAGTAAGGCATTTGATAAAGTAGACTACAACCTACTCCTTGGTAAGCTAAAAAAAGGTGGAATAGACAACATCACCACCAGATAGATCTATAGCTGGCTGGCAAATCGTGCTCAACGAGTAGTCTTCAACAGCACTACATCCACATGGAGAGAAGTAAGCAGTGGGGTACCACAAGGTTCTGTCTTAGGCTCAGCACTCTTCAATATCTTCATCAATGACTTAGACGAGGGAATTGAAGGGGAACACATCAAGTTTGCAGATGACACCAAACTGGCAGGAGTAGCCAACACCCCAGAACACAAACTCAGGATCCAAAAAGATCTTGACAAACTTGAACAATAGGCCCTATCCAACAAATTGAGTTTTAATATGGAAAAAAGCAAAATTTTACATGTAGGCAGGAAAAATCAAAGGTTCAGGTACAGATTGGGCAAGACCTGGCTTAAAAACAGTGAGATGGGCCTTGGAGTCCTAGTGGACAATCACTTAACCAAGAGCCAGCAATGTGCAGCAGCAGCCAAAAAAGCTAATACAATCCTGGGTTGTATAAACAGAGGCATAGAATCAAGATCACGCGAGGTATTAGTACCGCTTTATAAAACCTTAGTAAGACCACACCTGGAATACTGCAGCCAATTTTGATCACCATATCACAAAAAAAAGATGTTGAGAGTTTGGAAAAACTTCAGAGAAGAGCAACTAAGATGATCAAAGGCTTGGAGACTAAAAGAGATGAAGGACGGCTGTAGGACTTGAGTTTGGCTAGTCTAAAGAAACAGGGGAGACATGATAGCAGTATACCAGTATTTGAGGGGCTGCCACAAAGAAGATGGGGTCACGTTATTCACCAAAGCACCAGAGGGCAGGACAAGAAACAATGGTTGGAAACTGATCAAAGAGAGAAGCAACCTGGAATTAAGGAGAAACTTCCTGACAGTGAGGATAATTAACCAGTGGAATAGCTTGCCCCCAGAAATCATGTGTGCTCCATCAGTGGAGATTTTTAAAAAGAGGCTAGACAGCCACTTGTCTGAGATGGTATAGGTTCTCCTGCTTGAGCAGGGGGCTGGACTAGAAGGCCTCCAAAGTCCCTTCCAGCTTCTATTCTATCCTATCCTATCCTATCCTATCCTATCCTATCCTATCCTATTCTATCCTATCCTATTCTATTCTATTCTATTCTATTCTATTCTATTCTATTCAAGCCTTAGTACTGGAACAGAATATAGTTCAGCCATCTGGGCAATGTAATTTATGCCAGTATATATAACTACTGAATCAGAGATGGGAAGAATGACTGCCAACATGGCTATGAGGAAATGCCCAGTGACTAATTGCAACTTTCTCTGGGTGGAGTTCAAATGATTTACAAAAGAGCAATGGGGTAAGGAAATCTTAAAGAAGACTTACCCAAAAAATCAATAATGTTTCAATCTATAGTTAACCCTAATAGTGTATCTAAGTTCAATAAAAAATACTCAGAAAAGGAAAAGAAATAATTTTAAAAGCAGTTATATTCCCCTCCTCTCTCTATCTCCTATATTATTATTTTTTTACAAATAACTCAAAACAGTGAACATATCCAACACACCTTCCTCCTCCTATTTCTCCCACACAACAACAAGCCTGTGAGGTGAGTTGGGCGGCGAAAGAGTGACTGGCCCAAGGTCACCCAACTGGATTTCATTATTGTTTTTGGCAGCTAGTATTTAAGTCATGGCTGAGATTCTGGAAGCAAAACTTCCATTACAGAAATTAGCAACCACTAATAGTTCTTTTCCCAGTTAATTTATCTAGTTCTTTCCAAATGATCCAAATCAGTACAATTATTGCATAAGAGAACAAATTGCATACTCCAGATTTGCTTTAGTTCTCTGTTCAGATATATCAGGGGTGTCAAACTGCCGGCCAGCAGGCCGGATGCATCATAGCAAAAACGCGCCCACCCCATTGCCGGCAATGGCAAAAAAGTCACGATACATTGTGACATGTCACGTGACCTTGCAAGTTTGACACCCCTGAGATATATGATGGATGAACCTAGGTGCTAATATTTGGGAAAATTGGAGTGAGGGGAGACTCAATTACTCTATTGCATCCCTTCTATCATTATAACACCTTGTATCAAGTACTGGTGTGTCATTCTGTTGACTCTCTAGCCACACCCAAGAAAGCTTCCTCTGAAGTCACAGAATGCGGTAATATAGTACAAAGAAAAAAATTCACCAAAGATTATTGGAATAATGAAGCCTTTCTTCTCTTTAGCAATCATATTTTATGTTTTTGCAAAACAAGGTGTTTTAATATTATGAAATTCTATTGATAACATAAGATACAATTTATAAAGGAAGCCTTAATGCTTGTAAGCTCTGCCACCTATCCTAGGGATTTTCCCTTTATCATTTATTCTCGTTTTTTTTTTTGAGTTTTGCATAAAAGAGTATTTAAGGCTGCATCTGAGTATAACTCTCAGCTTGAAAAGCAATTTATTCTGAGGTTTTCTGACATATAGGGAAATTTTTAAAAAATCCAATGGCTGTGTTCTAAAATCCACTTAAGCATGCTTAAGCCTATTGATTATGGTGGGCTTAAAGCATGATTTAATCTGTTTTGGACTGTGATTGGTGAGAACATCTGGAAACAGAAGATTATCTCATAGCATGTCACTTCAATATTGGTATACTTTTGAACTCAGTTTGACTGTCATATTTTGTCTAAACTTCTGCACAATAAGCATTTACAATAGTCAGATCTCTTCCATAGTTAGATGTTCATTTTTTATGTTATAACATAATTCTTTCCATAATTTCACGGTATACTAGCTGGTCATAATTCTATTCCTTTCCACACACTATGTTTGTCTGTAATGGAGCACTGTTACAGCAGCACTCCTACGCTGCAAAAATGTATTTTTGTAACACAAAACACTGAGTACTATTTCTTCATATAGCATACATCATTTGCTGCCATGAAATGAGGTAGTGACTACCAACTTAGCTTTAAAAGGGAAAGAAGTAAATTCATTGAAGTACAGAGTCAAAATGTTATATTTAATGCTAGAGGTGGCATACTAGTCCAGGGGTAGGCAACCTTGGCTCTTTTATGACTCGTGGACTTCAACTCCCAGAATTCCTGAGCCAGCCATGCTGAGGGGAAAGGGAAAGGTTTCCAAGCTGAGCCATGCTGGTTCAGGAATTCTGGGAGTTGAAGTCCACGAGTCATAAAAGAGCCAAGATTGTCTACCCCTGTACTAGTCATTAGGGAGAAGGAGAGGATGACTCTCATCATGTCCTGTCTATGAACTCCTCAGAGCGTCTGGATGGCAGTTATGGGAACAGTTTTTGGAATCATCAAACTATGCTGTTCTTGGGTTCATACCTCAGACAATTTCTCCAAATCTGATGAAGATAATGACGTTAGTGAAAGAACCCTAGAAATCTGGATTGCAACCAAATCAACTTGTATATTTATATCATCAGAAGCATTTATTCTAATTCACGTTTTAGCAGTTGTAAGAACCAAATGCTCTGCAATGATTTGGATAAGGCCTGGTTAATTCATGAACTGGTTATTTGGATTGCACAACTAACTTAACTTCCTTAAGTTCAAGCATTTTTTTCTCTCCCACACAGAAACTTTTGAGTGAATCAACTCTGTTCTCCTTTTAGGGAAGCCTCATGGGGCAGATGACTTCCTTCCAGTGCTCATGTATGTTCTGGCCCGCAGTAACCTGACAGAGATGATTCTCAATGTAGAGTATATGATGGAACTTATGGACCCTGCTCTGCAGCTGGGCGAAGGTATGGAAGAACTCCAGTGTATTGATGCAATGCAGGAGTGGCCAATTTGCAGGCCACATGAGGCTTATCCAGATCCTTTACTACACCCTCCAGATCTTATCAACATTGCATGTTTAATGAAAAATACAAACATTCAAAAAATTTCTCGGATTTTTTTTTAAAAAACAAAACAAAAAACAAGATCCGTGCACAAAGGTTCAGATAAACTTAATCCACATTAACCTCCCTAACCTAACCCCAAATGAAAAACAAAATTTACAAGCATATATTTCTTGGTGATGTCACTAAAGAAGCACTATGCCTTACAGTAGGGGTGTCCAAGCTTGACAACTTTAAGAGTTGTGGACTTCAACTTCCATGCTGGCTGGAAATTTCTGGGAGTTGAAGTCCACAAGTCTTAAATTTGCCAAGGTTGGACCACCCTGCCTTACATCCTTCTGAGGTGGAATGAAAAACATATGGCTCCTACCTGTGGTGGTGGTAAAACATATCAATGAGAGTAAAATGGAACATGCCTAATAAACTATTTTTATGTTGGCTAATATTCACAAGCTAAGTAGGATCAATCCTGTTCAGTTTTACATAGGGAGGCCCTCAAGGAACTAAGCAATCTAGGCTAGACTAGAAAGAAGAAGAGAAGGGCAAACAACCTCCATACCATTGCCAAGACGATTATATGGATGTTTCCATGATGTCACAGAAAATCAGGCACAACTTAAAGGAAGCTATTTTATTCTCACTGAACATCCATTCAGGGCTTCATATTTCGTGTGGGACAATTGATTCTTTCTAGATGTATTTTTATTTTTTCCCCATATATTTTATTGATTTTTTAAAAAAAAGCAAATCATTTAATAGTTGGTAAACAGTGTGTTTGTTGGGTTTACATTTGTAAAGAAAAATCATTAACAATTAGTTTCTACAGTGCTTTTTTTGAAAAAAAAAAAAAAAAAAAAAGGTGCCAGAACTCACACACGTCATACAACCTGCTTTGCCTACCCTACAAAGTCCCATCCAAAAAAGGTGCCGGAACTCCGTTCTGGGCGTTCTATGACAAAAAAAGCCCTGGGTTTCTATAATCCATAATCCCCCTTTTCTCCAAAATATCTTCTTTGCAAACCTTGAATTAATACAGTTCTTATTATTTTGATAAATAACAGTTACATATATGATTTTCCCCCAATGTTCCTAGAAATAATGATCACATCAATATAATATTTCTTTTCTATCTAATCGTTCTGGTTGCCTCCTCCTATATCCTGTTACAGTCCTTATTTAGATTTGTTTCTCCCATAAAGTTCAAAGTATTCTTGCTGGTTAAGATTTTCTCAACAGTTAATTACATTTAAAGATTTAAATCCATTTTTCCCATATAAACCATCTCAACACTTTTACATTTCTTAAAGAATAGATAAAAACAGTAAACAAAAGGAAAAGAGAGCAAGAGTAAAGAAACATAAAAAGTAAAATACTACTTAATATATATATATTCCTCCTAAGCTAATATATATTCATTCCCCAAATTTCTTATTCTTTTTAATATTTAATCTTTAAATATTCCATTTAATGTGTCTAGTCATCTAATCCTTTAACAGGATTCAAAACATTTTTTTCTTTTTGATACATTATAATTTCCCTAAATTCAAACACATTTAATTATCTAAAACATTTCCTTCATCTAAACCATTTCAACAGTATTATATTACTTATATCAAGAAATAAAATAAAAAGGGGGGAAACATACAGTATTATTTAAGGAATTCATCCCTCTTAGAATGACATACAGTAGTGGCCAAAATTGTGGAAACCTTTTGGGAAAAGTGTACAGTAGAAATGCCACCTTTGGTTAAGTTTCCACCAATTTTTCTTCTAATTTCTTTATAAATTAGAAGAATTTATTTCTTTTCTTCTTTCTTCACTTAATAATACTATTTTACATCGCTTTCTGGGCAACCAGTCAACTCTTTGTACCATTACTTTAATTTTATTACGTTTTACAAGCTCACTAAATGAAAGAACACAAAAAAACCAACCAACTTGATAGCGATCACATAACACACTGACAAATTTCCTCCTCTCAGCTTCAATACATGACATCAATAACTGAATCCTACTGTGATCTGATTGGCTCATTGCCAAAACAAGATGACACCTGATTGGCTCTCTAAACATGCTCATTGGCTACAATCAGATGAAGGAAAGCTACCTGATATCAACCTAAGCAAGTTGTGCTTCCTTTTTCTGGTCATTTGGCTATAGCTTTTCATAGAATACAATACAGATAATTGAACAAACTTTGTTGCATTACATTCTTGATTAAATTATCTTTCCATTGATATATAATTTTATGGTACTACTCAAAAAAAAAGTGGTGTTATTAGCCATCAAACCTCAAAAATACACTTTTCCCAAAAGGTTTCCACAATTTTGGCCACTACTGTATATATTCAGAATCTTTTCTATTTCTTTAACCATATTCAAACAAATATTTCTTTTTTAAATATTCTCTCTAGTAGATCCCATCATCTATTTTCTTAATTTTCACTTTAATCTTTTTCCTTTGACCAGTATCTTTCTTGATCAATGTGTTTTGCTGAATCAAAAAGTTTTCCATATATTCATAACTGTTGCTGTAGGTATAAGAAGTAAATTGAGTAAAGTGTCTTTATATGACGCTTTTGCCTTTCCATGTTTCTTGAAAATCTTTTTCTTTTTCTTCTTCTCTGCTTTTCTTATCACTTCCTTTCTCTTTGATGTTTCAACATCTATACATTTCATTTTATCCAATCTGGTTTTTTGTCCTCAGATTTATTTTGTAGTTTTAAGGGATGAGCTGTTTTTTCCATTTCTTTTCCATTTCTTGGATTTTTTCCCACTAGGATTAAATCATGTTTTCTTGCTTTGTTAAGTTCCATCTTTCAGCCTCTATTTTCAATTTTATGTCCACTTATTTGTTTTGTATGCTCCTTCTCTGTTGTTGTTTCCTGGAATTTTTGTTGTTGTAGAGTTAACTTAGAAATAGATTGATTTATATTTTCAAATTTATTTTGGATTTCTTTGTGATTTGAACTCATTGTTGTTTGAATTAATTGCAGTATACTATATATCTCCTCCTGAGAGATATTTATGTTTTCTTGGTGTGTTCTATCTACATCTCTGATCCATGATGGCCAAAAGTTGAAATTTTCCTTCTTATCTGCAAATAGCTTTAGAATCCCGTTTAAATAGATATTTGTAATCCAAAGAGTTCAAAAACTATTTTTTTCTAAAGTTTATAATTCTCTCTTTGTCTGCAGCCCAGATTGTTGTCTTTTTTTTGTCATAGCTTTTCTTTGTTATTAAAGCTTTGAAGGTCATAAACACAGATTAGCTTTTCCCAGGTTTTGGCAAGTTCTCTATGGAGATCATCACTGTCATAATCTTCGTCCACCACTAGGTGTCAGCATCTATTTAGTTTTCAATATGAACAATGGTCTTTAAAATGAGAGTCTTAACCATTCAACAATTTTAAACTTGTCCAAAGTTAAATTTTAGCTTTCAAGTTTATAAATTTATTTCACTGCCATATACAGTATTTTGATCCTCCATGGAAATTTTAATTCACCGCTTCCATTAGTATAAGGGTGGGGCAGAAGTCCCCCTCCTTCACTTTCGGAGGTATTTTGCTTCTTGGGGATCTTTTCCAGGAAGTTAAGTGTAGAATAGAAAAGGGAAAATCAGATTCCTCACCCAGTTTCAAGCATGCTGTTTACTGTTGTGCTGGTTAGTTCTTTTGGGCTTTGGTTGCAAGTAGCTTGGGCTGATCAGTGAAATATAGCCTTTCTCCTGTCAGGTTAGAAGGCTTTCCCCAACTGGAAGTTTTAAAGAAAAGATTGGACAGCCATTTGTCTGAAATGGTACAGGGTTTCCTACCTGAGCAGGGGGTTGGACTAGATGACCTCCAAAATCCCTTCCAACTTTTTTATTATTGTTGTTATTGTTATTATAAACTAATAATAATAATACATTTTATTTTTATGTATGTATTTATATTAGGGCTGTATTTCAGATTTGATGTGGAGAGCTCAAATGTTTGAATTCTCTGTAGACTTTTACTTCCATCCAGTGATCATTTGGATTTTTATAACTGTTTTTAGAGTACTGTACAGGTAGTCCTTGACTTACGACCACAGTTGAGCCCAAAATTTCTCTTGCTAACTGAGACATTTGTTAAGTGAGTTTTGCCCCATTTAACTACCTTTCTTGCCACGGTTGTTAAGTTGTCAAGTGAATCTGGCTTCCCCATTGACTTTGCTTGTCAGAAGGTCACAAAAGGTGATCACATGACCCTGGAACACTGCAACGGTCATAAGTATGAATCAGTTGTCAAGCATCTGAATTTTGATCAAGTGACTATGGGGATGCTGCAATGGTCATAAGTATGAAAAATGGTCATAAGTTGCTTTTTTCAGTGCCGTTGTAACTTCAAACAGTCATTAAACGAACTGTTGTAAATCAAGGACTACCTATATAGCATTGTGACTGGGAGGAACTGGGATTGTATATGTTTCTCTGAAGATGTGTTATTTTTGCCATTCGAAAATGAAGGAGATAGGTAAAAATAACAATAATAAATAGCAGCATAAAAAGAACATATAATTTTTGATCAGTTGAAATAAAAACTGTTTTATTTCAAGAATATTCATCTTCCTCATTCAGTATGTCTTTGAAAATTAAATGAGCTTTATTGGACCTCTACTGTAATATAAATGATCACTAGATAGCAGCAAAGAGAAGCAATTTTTTTCTATGTCTTTGCTGCTAGTAATTTGCATTTTTGCAGCCCAGATTTATTATTGTATGTTTTTATGATGACACTGACAAGTTTCTTCAAATGATTTTGGCACCTACTCACGGGCCCAAGAAATCCCTGTAGAAGCACCAG